CTTATAAGACATCCTCCCAACCTGAAGCAAATACTCACTAACAACTACATACCACACAACAAAAACACTAACCCAGGAACCAAACCCTGCAACAAACCCCAGTGCCAACTCTGTCCACATATCTATTCAAGGGACACCATCATAGGACCTAACCACATCAACCACACTATCAGGGGCTCGTTTACTTGCACATCTACCAGTGTGATACATGCCATCATATGCCAGCAATGCCCATCTGCCATGTACACTGGCCAAACTAGACAGTCTCTACACAAAAGACTAAACAGACACAAATCTGACATCAGGAATTATAACATTAAAAAACCAGTAGGAGAACACTTCAATCTCCCTGGAGACTCAATAACAGACTTAAAAGTGGCAATTCTTCAAGAAAAAAACTTCAAAAACAGACTCCAGTGAGAAACTGTAGAACTGGAATTAATTTGCAAACTGGACACCATCAAATTAGGCCTGAATAAAGACTGGGAGTGGATGGGTCACTACAAAAACTAATTTTCCCCTGCTGATACTCACACCTTCTTGTCAACTGTTTGAAATGGGCCACCTTGTTTACACTGGTCTCATTAGCACTACAAAAGTGATTTCCACCCCTTCTTGTCAACTGTTGAGAATAGCCCACTTCCACCTTAATTGAATTGGCTCATTAGCACTGACCCCTCACTTGGTAAGGCAACTCCCATCTTTTCATATGCAGTGTATTTATACCTCCCTATTGTATGTTCCACTCCATGCATCTGATGAAGTGGGTTTTAGACCACAAAAGCTTATGCCCCCAAAAAATTTGTTAGTCTCTAAGGTGCCACAAGGACTCCTCATTGTTTTTGCTGATACAGACTAACACGGCTACCACTCTGAAACCCATAATAATACAAACATACTACTAATAAAAGGAGTACTTGTGGCACCTTAGAGACTACAGCTCACTTCATCGGATACATAGAGTGGGGAGATTTTATATACACAGAGAACATGAAACAATGGGTGTTATCATACACAGTGTAACCAGAGTGATCAGGAAAGGTGAGCTATTACCAGGAGGAGAGCAGGGGGGGAGGAGGGGAAACCTTTTGTAGTGATAATCAAGGTGGGCCATTTCCAGCAATTCACAAGAACGTCTGACGAAAAGTAAGGGAGGATATAAACAAGGGGAAATAGTTTTACTTTGTGTAATGACCCATCCACTCCCAGTCTTTATTCAAGCCTAAATTAATTCTATCCAGTTTGCAAATTAATTCCAATTCAGCAGTCTCTCACTGGAGTCTGTTTTTGAAGTTTTTTTGTTGAAGAATTGCCACTTTTAGGTCTGTAATTGAGTGACCAAAGAGATTGAAGTGTTCTCCAACTGGTTTTTGAATGTTATAATTCTTGACGTCTGATTTGTGTCCATTTATTCTTTTACATAGAGACTGTCCAGTTTGACCAATGTATGTGGCAGAGGGGCATTCCTGGCACATGATGGCATATATCACATTGGTAGATGAGCAGGTGAACGAGCCTCTGATATTGTGGCTGATGTGATTAGGCCCTATGATGGTGTCCCCTGAATAGATATGTGGACACAGTTGGCAATGGGCTTTGTTGCAAGGATAGGTTCCTGGGTTAGTGATTTTGTTGTGTGGTGTGTTGTTGCTAGTGAGTATTTGCTTCAGGTTTGGGGGCTGTCTGTAAGCAAGGACTGGCCTGTCTCCCAAGATCTGTGAGAGTGGTGGGTCATCCTCCAGGATAGGTTGTAGATTCTTGATGGTGCGTTGGAGAGGCTTTAGTTGGGGGCTGAAGGTGATGGCTAGTGGTGTTCTATTATTTTCTTTGTTCGGCCTGTCCTGTAGTAGGTAACTCTTCTGGCTCTGTCAATCTGTTTCTTCACTTCAGTAGGTGGGTATTGTAGTTGCAAGAGATCTTTCTAGAGATCTTGTAGGTGTTTGTCTCTGTCTGAGGAGTTGGAGCAAATGCGGTTGTGTCATAGAGCTTGGCTGTAGACAGTGGATCGTGTGATGTGGTCTGGATGAAAGCTGGAGGCATGTAGGTAAGTATAGTGGTCAGTGGGTTTCCAGTATAGGGTGGTGTTTATGTGGCCATCGCTTATTAGCACCATAGTGTTCAGGAAGTGGATCTCTTGTGTGGACTGGTGCAGGCTGGGGTTGATGGTGGGATGGAAATTGTTGAAATCATGGTGGAATTCCTCAAGGGCTTCTTTTCCATGGGTCCAGATGATGAAGATGTCATCAATGTAGCGCAAGTAGAGTAGGGGCATTAGGGACTGAGAGCTGAGGAAGCGTTGTTCTAAGTCAGCCATAAAAATTTTGGCATACTGTGGGGCCATGTGGGTACCCACAACAGTGCAGCTGATTTGAAGGTATACATTGTCCCCAAATGTGAAATAGTTATGGGTGAGGACAAAGTCACAAAGTTCAGACACCAGGTTTGCCATGGTATTATCAGGGATACTGTTCCTGCCTGCTTGTAGTCTATCTTTGTGCGGAATGTTGGTGTAGAGGGCTTCTACATCCATAGTGGCTAGGATGGTGTTTTCAGGAAGATCAATGATGGACTGTAGTTTCCTCAGGAAGTCAGTGGTGTCTCAAAGATAGCTGGGAGTGCTGGTAGCTTAGGGCTGAAGGAGGGAGATTACATAGCCAGACAATCCTGCTGTCAGGGTGCTAATGCCTGAGATGATGGGGCATCCAGGATTTCCAGGTTTATGGATCTTGGGTAGCAGATAGAATACCCCTAGTCAGGGTTCTAAGGGTGTGTGTGTGCAGATTTGTTCTTGTGCTTTTTCAGGGAGTTTCTTGAGCACATGGTGTAGTTTCTTTTGGTAACCCTCAGTGGGATCAGAGGATAATGGCTTGTAGAAAGTGGTATTGGAGAGCTGTCTAGCAGCCTCTTGTTCATATTCCGACCTATTCATGACGACGACAGCACCTCCTTTATCAGCCTTTTTGATTATGATGTCAGAATTGTTTCTGAGGCTGTGGATGGCATTGTGTTCTGCACGGCTGAAGTTATGGCGAAAGTGATGCTGCTTTTCCACAATTTCAGCCTGTGCACATCGGCAGAAGCATTCTATGTAGAAGTCCAGTCTGTTGTTTTGACCTTCAGGAGGAGTCCACCCAGAATCCTTCTTTTTGTAGTCTTGGAAGGAAGGTCTCTGTGGGTTAGTATGTTGTTCAGAGGTGTGTTGGAAATATTCCTTGAGTCGGAGACATCAAAAATAGGATTCTAGGTCACCACAGAACTGTATCAGGTTCATGAGGGTGGAGGGGCAGAAAGAGAGGCCCCGAAATAGGACAGGTTCTTCTGCTGGGCTGATTATAGTTGGATAGATTAACAATATTGCTGGGTGGATTAAGGGAACCACTGTTGTGGCCCCTTGTGGCATGGAGTAGTTTAGGTAGTTTAGTGTCCTTTTTCTTTCATAGAGAAGAAAAGTGTGTGTTGTAAATGGCTTGTCTAGTTTTTGTAAAGTCCAGCCACAAGGAAGTTTGTGTGGAAGGTTGTTTTTTTAAGAATATCCAGTTTTGAGAGCTCATTCTTAATCTTTCCCTGTTTGCTGTAGAGAATGTTGATCAGGTGGTTCCACAGTTTCTTTGAGAGTGTGTGGAACAAGCTGTCAGCATAGTCTGTGTGGTATGTATGCAGGTGAACAAGCCTCTGATAGTGTGACTGATGTGATTAGACCCTGCACATCTACCAATGTGATATATGCCATCATGTGCCAGCAATGCCCCTCTGCCATGTACATTGGCCAAACTGGACAGTCTCTATGTAAAAAAATAAATGGACACAAATCAGACGTCAAGAATTATAACATTCATAAACCAGTTGGAGAACACTTCAATCTCTTTGGTCACTCAATTACAGACCTAAAAGTGGCAATTCTTCAACAGAAAAACTTCAAAAACAGACTCCAGTGAGAGACTGCTGAATTGGAATTAATTTGCAAACTGGATACAATTAGCTTAGGCTTGAATAAAGACTGGGAGTGGATGGGTCATTACACAAAGTAAAACTATTTCCCCTTGTTTATTTCCCCCCCACTGTTCGTCAGACGTTCTTGTCAACTGCTGGAAATGGCCCACCTTGATTATCACTACAAAAGGTCCCTCCCCCCCCACTCTCCTGCTGGTAATAGCTCACCTTTCCTGATCACTCTGGTTACAATGTGTATGATAACACCCATTGTTTCACATTCTCTGTGTATATAAAATCTCCCCACTGTATTTTCCACTGTATGCATCTGATGAAGTGAGCTGTAGCTCACGAAAGCTTATGCTCAAATAAATTGGTTAGTTTCTAAGGTCCCACAAGTACTCCTTTTCTTTTTACTAATAGTAGTAAATATACATCAAATTCAATCATTAAAATGAAACAGGGGATTTTTAGCCTTTGTTTAAAGGCCGATCTCAGAGCAGCCTTGACTGTGAGCCTTGACTCCAGAGTCAAGGCTGCACGCCTCCATAAAAATACTATTTATTTCTTTATCCACTATTTGTCTTCAGACAAATATTTCAAATCTACTCCATCTTCAGCTGAGAACAATAGGCACTGGGCAAAGTAACAACACATAGCTGCCTACATACAAGAAACCACAGCAGGAGGAATAATTACAATGGCCCTCCAAAAAATCCACATCTGGGTAATAAAAATACAGCACATTGTTCTTGAGGTCTAGAAAAACTATATTCTCTTGTTTGAACAATGAAGATGCTGCTTTCAGGTCCCATCCATCACAAGCGTCATGTGTTCTAGCTATAGCTACACAAAAGCAAGTTGCATTATTTCATTCTGAACTCCTCTGTGTTTTTGATGCTCACTGTCCGTTTCCTTTCCTGGTTTAGTTTTAGCTCAGCCTTTTCACTCAAGCACATGCCCAACAACAATCTCTGAGGACCTTCGGCAGGACTGTCATCCAGAACCTGGAGCTACTGAAACCTCCTGCATAAGTCGTGGCTGCCGGTGGTGTGAGACTAGTGCGCCGAATGTTCCATTTTGCTTCTATGACTCAGTTGAAGATCCATCTTGCCCTAACAATGTTCCAGTTCAGAAACGCATTGATTGCCACCCTCAGCTTGGTGCCTCAAAAGAGGCATGTGAGGCAAAGGGCTGCATTTGGTGTTCTACAAAAGTCTCCAATGCCCCCTGGTGCTCTTTCCCAGAAGATGGTCTATATGGGTATTCTCTGTCTGGGCCGCTGCAAAAGACAGCTAAAGGCTGGAGGTAAACTTCACCATTGCTTGTTTAAGTCTTTAGTCATTCTTTATGCATTCACATTTGGTTGGACTGCCTAAAAGCTATGTACCGTTTTGGGTTCTGATTCTAGAATTCATTTATAAATGCATAGGCATAAATTTTCCCCACTCCCCTTTTGTAGAATAGCTGGACCTTCCACGAGAGGGTACAAGATGATGCTATCTAGCTGAATTTTGGGGGAAAATATCCTCCTTTGCCCACCCCAACAATATCTATTAACAAATTCATGATTTATGGAAGTTCTAGTCCAGGAAGATTTGCTATTGGTTAATAGAACTGAATCCTTTCCACTGTTTTGCCCTGTATATGGGTGTTCTTGTGCTTAAGCACTTTGGTGTGTGGTAATTAAGTGTGTTTGTAGGTTAATGCTGATGAAACGTAATATCATGATGTCACTGTTCGGCAATGATATTTCTTCTGTTGCCATGGATGTGGAGTTCCAGATGAAAGACCGACTCAGGTTTAAGGTAAGTGTTAAAAGAAAAAAAAAATTTAATCCAAGTAACTTAAGCTAACTAACCAGCCAATGACTTTGTGCCTACTCTCACGCTGATTTAGATTTATGATCCTAATAGCCAACGATTTGAAGTTCCACTCAAGATTGAGTCTCCATCCACTGCTGCTGCTGACACCAGCTATGACATCGAGTTTATAAATCAGCCCTCCTTTCAGTTTAAAATCATAAGGAAAAGCACAGGAACAGTGCTGTAAGTACAAGTATATTAAGATTGTTTTGTGTAGAAAATAAGGAAGACAAGATGAGAATGATTTTGCATACGATTGCTTGTTCAACATGGCGAACAGAGAGAAATGATCCTTCCTCTCACAAACATGAATTTTGTGTGTGTGTGTACACACATGGCATCTAGTAGATTAAGGTGTGTCCCATTAGGAAGTGGAGTCCTATCATAGTGCTTACTATAAACATAAAGATATATACACATGCAAGAGTTACTTAAACATTAAGGAAAGATTGATCAGAGAATCAAGATCTGTTCCTTATCAAATAATAATCTAGCTGGCACTGCATGCTGTGTGTCTGCAATGTAATAAATTAGTGCCAAGGACTAGTGAGTTTGGAGGTCCTGCATTTCTGGATGTCCAACCTGAGACATCTTAATGGGGCCTGGTTTACAGGAAGTGCTAATCACTCACCCTCTGAGAATTAGGCTCCTGTAATGTCTTAAGCTGGACACCCATAAACACTAATCACTTTTCAAAATGTAGGCCCAAGGAAACTAGAGAAATCGTGATAAAACAGTGCAAAAATATTAGTTGAATTGTACAATTTGTGCAGTGTATTTTTTTTAAGGAAAAATGTCCATACATCAGCAAACACCACAAATTTTGTATTGTCACTTTCCAGCCATTCTAACGTCATAAATCTCTTCTTTGCTTATTTTCCACTTAATGATGGTTACCAAGATATTTGTATGGAATGAGTAACTTACTCCTTTCTAATCAGCATGCTCTTGCTGGCTTCATTTAGTGAGGCTACAATCCGGTGTTATCATATGACATCGTATGATTGGTTGTTATGATGTATTAAGATGTCACAAACTGTACTGTGGTATCATTAGATGACTCAGGTAGGAGAAGCAGGAAATATAGGTCATATAAATATATGTACCCTAGGCATGAGAATGTTGGGAGAGAAAATGCAGAAAAAGTATGTTTCTGCTCACAGGAATTTTTATGTCAAGCACATTTTCAGAAGTTTGTTGAAATGTGGCATTGGTTATTTCTATCCATAATTTCTGTAAAATTGCACCCAAAAACTTAAGCCTGAATACTGAAAACAAAACATATAAAACCCCATTTCTTTCAGATGTTCGTTGTTAAACAGACTCAGGATATAAACATTTTGCTGGCAAGAAATGGAGCGTCACAATTTATGGGGAGGAGACTGAACATTTTCAAAACATGTTTTGGTTGTTTTCACTAAGTGTTACACCCTCTTGTGTCTCACATCAGGAATTTGTCCTTGCGAATACAGCTTATAAAATATGTTGAGGCTGCAAATGTAAATACTGGGCTTTATTTTTAATTAGCTGGACGCTCTTCTAAATAGCTATCTTGTGTGACATCTTTTACAAGTTTCATAGCCAACTTTGTAAAAGTGTTTTGTTTTGTTTTTTAACAGGGTATTGTAAATTTAGTGTTCTATGTATCAGTGAGATAGCAAAAATTTGCTTATTTCCTCATTTAGAATTAATGGCTTTGTGTTGATAGCAGGTTGCAGTTAAAAGTCCAATTTTCCTGTCTTTGATCCAAGAGATTATCTCTGTAGCCCTTTCTGTTGTAAGGATTGATTAAGGCTCATTAATTGGAATTATCATATGTGAAGTGAATGCTTACTGAAAAATTACTACAAGCTGGTTCTTTGGGTCTCTCAACTCGAGATACCTGCAGGATTTATTTTCAGGGGTGCTGAGAGCACACAATTCCAGTGGGAGCTGTGGGTGCTCAGCAACTCTGAAAATCAGGCCCTATTTGGCAGGTTTTCAAAAGAGCTCCTTGTAGATCCCATTGTTCTCAATGGGAGCTACTGAGAGCTACGGGCGTTTGAAGACCGGGCAGTATCTGTCTAAAAAGGGACTCCTAAATATAGTGCTCACTTCTGAAACTTTGGGCTTAATGACAGTGTAAGCTCTGTGAAAGAATGGGCTGTGTTGAAAGGAGAGGAAGATAGAGGGCAGCCTTGGCTAATGTCTGTATCAATAGTTCAGATTTCAGTAGAAATCCATTGCTGTTAAAAATTGCCACTGGAAAAGCATACGCTGTGTTACTCCAGGCGATGAAGCTCTTCTGGAATCCACCCAGTTAAAAAAAACGATTAAATGTTAATATTGCCATGGTTAATGGTTTTATCCGGCAACTGAAGACAATACTATTAATGAAACATTATCACTGCCGAGACTGATGTTTGCATATAGTGCATGAGAAAGGAAAACGGTCTGCTTCTGGGAAAAGGCACAGCAAGTTGATTATACATGGGAGGGTCTCGTTCCAGCAGGAAAAGATTACTCCCACAGCTGTACCCCCTTTGTAGCTGAATTCCCTGTGTGATTAACAAAAAAGCACCTCTTCCCACATCCGAGCTGATCTAAATGAGTGAATTTGGATGCTGAGTAGCATCTCTTTGTCCCAATCTAGGGATTTACACTCACCACTTCCATTAGAGTTCAGGAGAACTGTGTGTGTATCCTTCTTTCAACATGTTAATTTACTCCATACTTCCTGATCTGGAAGCCATGATGGTTTCTATTTATTTGATAGTAGCAACTGTCTCTACAGCAGGGAATGTTACGAAATTATTCCCACTGCACCAGTGCAGCCGGAGCAGTGAGAGAAGCAGTGGGAGCCATCGTGTAGAAGACACTCCAGTAGCTTCTGGCATTTTTACCACTAGGTTATTTAAACCTGGTGAAAGCAGTTTTAACAACATGTTGGTAAAAACAGGTCTAGCCGTATGGGAACCTTCTCTACATTAGGGCTCCCACCAGTGGTAACATAGGCTCAGCTGAACCAGTGGTAAAATCCTATTGTGCAGAAAAAGCAGAAGAGTCCAGACTGGTTAAAGCAAGAAGCCTATAAATGGAGCAATCAGTTCTTTGTGTCCTGTCCCTTTTGCTGCTGCAGGAACAACCATCCAAAAAGCTTTGTCTAAGAAAATTACTCATTGCCGATGATGGGTGTGAGCAATCAGTGCAGCTGAACGGGTGCCAGGCATGTCTCCATGTGTTGCCAAGGTCAGAGTTGTGTTCTACACAGCTTCAGAAGCAGTGATTAAAACTCATTTCTAAAATTGTGCTGAACATGGTTTGGTCATTGCCGTTGGACTTTGCTGGGCACTGGTTGATGACACCCGTTGTTAGCAAGTGGAAATTTTCTTTGTCCGTTCAAGACTACGCTGTGACCCAATGTGCTTCTGTCCTGCTGACACAGCCTTGCAAAAAATTGTCTGTTACCAAAGCTGGCAACTCAGCTGGGCCTTCCCAAGGACCCCTCTATTTAGCTTAATTGGGGGGTCTATTTTAAGCCTACACCCACTGCTCATATGAAAATGAACCTTATCACCCTGCTAACCATGTGGAGGAGACCCTCTGTTCATAGCCCTTTCCACTAGGAAGTGAAGGGATCAGATGCTTGGTGGCATTTTTCCTGCCCTTTCTCCACCATATTTCAGCGTGGGGGTGGGGGTGGGAGGAAGCACCCAGGGGAAGTAGGAAGAGGGACAGGTGTAGGGCTGGAAGGGATTGCATCATTCCCCCCCCACCTGTCAGTGAAATCCATAGTAAAGGTAATATAGCTCCAGGTTTTAGCACAGAGAGTCACCTCCTGGGAATCACCTCTCTCAGAAGTTCTGGGGACAGGCGACTCAGGAAGAACCCTTTTTAAGACACAAAACACCCTGCATATCCAGCTGCAGCAGATCAAATCCCTGGAATCCCAATAAAGAGTTGATCTGATCATTAATCTCTCTGTAAACACCAATATTGCTCAAAGTAATCAATAACAACAAACCAGGCCAAATTACACATTTCCAAGCTGTATTCCCAGCATCTCAGGAGATGGTAAATGGTGTCTAGACAACACAAATCCATATACACCACTGTAGCTTTCATGGGTCCCTGCTGAAAGCTTTTCCATTGTAAAACTATCCCAACTTTTCATAAACCTGTTCACATAGAGCACTTTATCTCTGTCAGCAGCTTTTCATTTTTGGACAACCCCACTAACAATGCTTAGAAGTCCCTATAATCCCACAATTCCTATAGCACAATGCCATGAATGTAATCCATGTAGAGTTAAGTACATTCTGTGCTGAAGAACCACTGTGGATTTTTTGTTAATATCTATATTTTTATTTCTCATCCATCATTTCTATACCACAGTCTCTGTCCCAGATGCAATAGATGTGTATTTATGCTTTAAATTCTGTCACAGTGGATTAGTATGATAGATGAAGAAGAAGAGGATATCAGGCCTGTTATCTTGTCCGTAGGGTATAAAACTCCCTTCCAGCTCTGTCATATGTGTACGCAAGGTCTCCTTACGGGGAGTTATTTAATGTAATACTTGAAAATATTGCAGGTGGGAGAGGATGGAAATTTAGGGGATATATATGTTCCTGAATATTATTTACAGCCATTACTACCGCTCTTTGTACTATGTTGGAAGCTTTTGTGAGAGGTGTGAAAACATGTGCTCAGGGCCCAATGGCAGTCAAAATAGCTAAGAAAATGTAAGGCTGTTGTAAGAGAGGGGTAGAAAATAAAACTGAACAGATAATGCCATTATATTACTCAATAATATGGTGTCATGTTGAACGTCATATTCCTTTTTTGTCATTCCATGGGTACAGCAGCAATAGAAAAGAGCAGGGCAAATGATCAGAGGCATAGAATGGTTTCTCTTTGAGGAGAGAGTAAAAGGCCTGGGGCTATTTGGTTTCAGCAGAGATGAACAACAAGCAAATACCAAACAGATTTAAAAGTGTCAAATTTAAAAATAACACAAAGAAATAATGTTTTACACAACGTATAATTATCCTGTGGAGCTTGCAATATATTATTGAGGCAGAGAGCTTGGTAGGATACAGATTTGTATAATAAGAACCAGCTATAGTCATACCAGTTAATTAAAAAATTATAAGGGCTATCAACCCAAATGACTCAGAATATAAACCAATTCTCCTACAATA